GATATTCATGCCCATGCATGATAGTTCATGAGGAAATGAACTGTATTCTTATTTGTAAAGAATGATAGGGGAAATTTATTGGAAATGTAAATATAAGAAAATGACGTTCATATAAGTGCAGATTTTCCAGCTCTTTTCAATGGTATCAAACTTATCAACTTCTGTGAAATGGTTGATATTTTAGCAAGTAGTTATCAGAACTTTTCAAATGCCCCTCATATTTTCTGATTGTGCATATATGAAATATGAACATAACGAACAGTATTCAATCTTGAAAGTCCAATGAAATATTAAAAATTTGAAGCAGAGCAAACATGGACCTCAAAATTTAGAGGTGGGATCAGGTGCCATGGAGGAGTGAGCATCCCCTGCTGGGTGCTCCTTGCCATGATCGGGTAATAATGGAGAAATCTGTTCAGTGTATAAATAATGGCCTAACAATATATGTGACTGAATTTTGGAATAAATTTGTATAATGATTTAATGTCATTGAAAAAGATTATAAAAATATCCAAAAGAATTGTTTTACTTGGTAAAATATTTATTGATGCAGTAAGGTTATTTAAGTATTAATAACCTTTTAAGTATTATAGAAACAGAGAAAATTATTGTGAAAATATTTTTCAATGTAAGAACAAAATACTTAGTAAATGGGCCCTCTATGATAATGTGTACAACAATGTGTACAACAAGTGATGAAAAATCAAAGTTGTATTTTCTTTATCTTCACCTTTTGGTATAACTTTTTTGTTTTTGGATAAATTGCATGATAAACTGTTATATAATAACATTTATGTGCATTAACTTATTAAACAGAAAGTGCACCAGCTTTGCTAGTGTGTGTTAGTATGGTGTTAGTGTGGTGGTGTGGGTGTAATTTGTTTGGTATGTGTTTATTTGTATAGATGTGAAAAAAGGCTTCAAAATGAAGCATTAACAATACCAGAAGTCTCTGATGAGACTGTAGCTCTACTGGTTTTTACTTAACAATAGTAGAGAAAGTATCACTTGGACTTGAAACTATGGCAACAGCAATAAATAAAATAATGATCCTTGATTTGTCTCTTTATGTGTTGAGTTTTATTGCAATTAAACAAAAACTGCAGTAGCAGTAACATTTTGACAGAATTTCACAGAAATTTCTAGTTTTCATAACCAGGGCAACACTTCACAAAATCAAAACCAATACATAAGAATATGGATCTTAATGTAGTCTACTATATTGAAATCAGACCGAAACTGTAGGAGGCATAGCATTTTGAAAGAATTTCACAGAAATTTCTGTTTTTTTTGTAACTTTAATAACTCCAATCATTGAAATCCAAAAAACAAGATATAGAATTATGTATCTTAGCATAGTCTACTTGTGTATCAAGTTATACTGTAATTGAATTTAAACTATAGGAGGAGTAGCATTTTAAAGAATTTCATAGAAATTTTTATTTTTAGTAACCATGGCAACACCAATCATTGAAATCAAAAACCCATATACAGAGTTATGTATCTTAGTGTAGTCTACTTGTGTACCAAATTAATTTGAAATCTGAGTAAAACTGTAAGAGGAGTAGTGTTTTGTTTACAGATAGACAGACAGACAGACAAGCTCTTTTGGTCTCTGACATGTATAGCTAAAAAGGATTATCAGTATCAGATGGATGTTAATAAATCTTGAATTAAAGAAGTTAAAAAAAGAATTCTCCCCTTGAAAGAGATAGTGGCACTTTATTTGAACAAATTTGAATATTCTTCACCCAAAAAGAATACTTTGTTGAAAGTTTGGTTGAAATTGGCCCTGTGCTTCTTGATAAGAAGTCACAAATGTGAAAAATTTACAGATGGGCAGCTGGACGCTGAACAAAAATTCATCAGAAAAGTTCACTTGTGCCTCTGGCTTAGGTTAGCTAGAAATGAAATGAAATATTGCAGAAGAATTAAGGCAAAAACTTTTAATATGGAATTCTGCCTTCTTTTAATTTAACCCCCCCCCATATTTTATTCATTTTAATGTTCTTATCTTTAAGTGCAAAAAGGTTATACAGCACCCATATTGTTATTCTTCACAGGATATATGATACAATAGGATACACGCATGATTCGATAGGACTAACACGATATAATAGGATGCGTGCACGATATGATAGGATACACACACAATAGGATAAACACAAAACACGATAAATGCAAAACACAATAAAAACAAAATACCATAAACACAAAACACAATAGACCTGATAAACAATTTTCACAATAGGATAAACACAAAATATGATAGGATTGTTTCAAAATGTGAAACATTTTTGACAAAAAGGAATTCTTTCCCGATGGCTGAAATAAGCTTTTTTGATCGATATTTGTCCATTGTCTGTCGTCCTTGTTGTCATAAACTTTTCACATTTTCATCATCTTCTCAAGAATCACTAGGCCAATTTCAACCAAACTTGCCACAAATTATTGTTGGGTAAAGGGAATTCAAGTTTGTTCAAATGAAGGGACATGCCTTCTTCCAAGGGGAGATGGTTATGATTTCTTGAAAAATTAATGGCATAATTTAAAATTCTTCTTCTGTAGAACAGCAAAGCCATGATTGCTCATATATAGAAGCATCTTCAGGTAGTGTAGATTCAAGTTTGTTCAAATCATGATCCCCAAGGGAAGGGTGGGGCCATAATTGGTGATCAAAGTTTTACATAGGAATACATAGGAAAAATCTTTAAAAACCTTCTTAAGAACAGCAAAGCCATGATTGGTCTTATTTATATGGAAGCATCCTCAGGGTAGATTCAAATTTGTTCAAATGATGACCCCTGGGGCTAGGACAGGGCCACAATGGGCGATTAAAGTTTTACATAGGAATACATAGGAAAAATCTTGAAAAATCTTCTTCTCAAAAACAGCAAAGCCATGATTGGTCATATTTATATGGAAGCATCCTCAGGTAGTGAATTCAAGCTTTTTCAAATCATTACCCCCCAGGGGCTAGGATGGGGCCACAATTGGCGATCAAAGTTTTACATTGGAATACATAGGAAAAATTCTTTAAAAATCTTCTTCTCAATAACAGCAAACCAATGATTAGTCATATATATGAGGGTTGTCCCAGAAAAATGCAAACATTTTCAATATTTTTTGTTTCACTGACGTGATAAAGTTAAAAATTTGTATGCACCATAATCAACATTTTTTTTTTTACATTATTCACAGAAATTTCAATAAAATATCTCTATAATTAAAATTTTTATCTTTGATCAACGAATCATTCAAATTTATAGATGTTGGCACAACACCAACACCGATGACATAAAAACGTAGCTTGTGGAGTTTTTTGAATTTGTTCAGGAAACATGCATCTTTAATTTGTTTGAAGCATACATTCAATTCTGCATTTAATTTTTGCTTTAGTTATCGAGTATCCATTTCATATATGGGATGCTACAGTTCAGAATAAATCAAGGAATTAATTCTTTTAATAGACAATTTCCCAATCATGAGTCTATAACTGCTCTCATAGTTAACGGCGGGCTCCACGTATGACATCCAGCTCTAGACTTTTCAGTTGTCATTTTTGTAGGTCTACTAAAAGCTTCTTCCATCGGATAACTAGTCCATTCATCTTTGAACCTCTTTTATTATGTATAAACCAGTGTTCGATACATGCATTTGTGTAGTTCCCTGGTTCCCAGCTCTTTTCCCGTATGAACAGGGGTCATATCTCGCTCCACACAGTACTGAGTGATAATTTGGTGCACCGTTTTTGACAATATCTAACAAATAGCATTAGTGCCTAGAATGTCATTTTTTGTTATTTATGATGTCGGAGTATATATTATTTACACACGAGTACTCTAGATCATACAGTTTCTACGGATGTAATTTTGGTTACATTATATTTCCGTATAGCCTGATAAGAAAGAAAACGTCGCTGTCAATGCAATTTTTTTAAGTCAAGAAATTGCCGTGCGCCGGCTGCGATATTTAACACCCTTTAAATGATGTTTCTAAATGCATATAACATTACAACCTTATATTATTTAGTCAAAATGACGAAAATAACATTTCCCAACAATGTGCAGGGGTAGACAAATAAAATTTTTCAGTACTTGCCCTTGGACAGGTTACCATCGTAAAATTACTTGTCCTACCAAAAAATATCCTTGTCCCACCTTTTTCTTCATTAACACATAATTAAAGCATTATCGTTAAACATTAAATTATTTCTCAACTTATACACTACATGGGGACCAAACTAGACACAAAGTCACTTAATTCTTCCACTGAAAAATTTAGGGTACAGTACAGCTCACGAGTTTTTTCCACCCCACCGTGGAAAACACACAGTGGAAAATACCCCATGTTACACCGTGTACAAAGTTCCACTGTGTGTGTATATTGCGATTACACCAAAGACGCACCGTGTCACACCGTAGACATTACCATTTCATCGGGTGACCCTCCGTGTTCCATCGTGCAAGAAAATTACGAAAGAAAATGGTTTGTTTATAAAAATAATTTTAGAATTGAAATCATAGGTATGTTGGTTTAATTGCTAGAAAGAAATCGTAAATGAAAAATTATTTAATTCAAACAGCTCACTATCAAACATGTAAGGTTGTAACATATTTTATATATATTATACTTTACTGGTGAAATGAAGAAAAAAGGAATCATAACTCTCCATGTCGTAAATTTGTCTCTCTTTCGTTGATTTTAATTATCATCAAAATGCTATTTTTGAAAAGGATTAGAATAAATCCTTAACTCTTTACCTACCACTGACGGATATATCAGCTTATTTTATCTCGCTTATATTCGCAGTGACGGATAAACCCGTCAGATTTTACTACACGCTAATCCGCATTGGCGGATATAACCGCTGTAAACAAATACCTGCGCATTCGTACTGACTGAAATATCCGCATTTTTACATATGTTACGGTAAGTCTGATTGGTTAGTTTGAGGGAGGACCCCAACTCAGAACCAATGAAAATCAGTTTAAGGAAAGGCTAATCTGTAAATTGATACGTAATGTTTCCATATTAGGCAGTGTTATCAATATATAGAAAGGAGATTCCCAGCGCGTTGTTTATAGTTCTAGAAGCAGTTCAAAATGGCGGAAAACATACTCGACATATTTCTATCGGACAGTGATTCTGATGAATTTGAGGGATTTACAGAAGCAGATATTGAAGCAGTAGAGAGAAGAAGTATCGGTAGTGATATTTCTCTATCTGATTTTGAGGATTCATCTTCGGAAGAAGAGTCAGAGGAGGAAATAGACGACGCGACCTGGTCACGACAGTTACACAAACCAAACGTGACTGAATTTACGGAGGAAGTTGGCCCGTCTTTTGTGCTGGACGAGGACAAGAAAGAATTGGATTTTTTCTTGAAATTCTTTCCTACAACCTTGATTGAAAAAATTGTGGAAGAAACCAACGGTTATGCTGCGAGATCAATCGTCACACGACCCGACAAAATTTGGGTGCCTACCACGATTCCCGAGATGATGGCGTTCTTAGGAATTCACATCATTTTTTCAGTCCTTGGAGTGCCGTCATATACACTGGCGTGGAAATCAACGTGGCCATTTGAAATACCCAGTATTCCAACCATCATGACCAGGACTCGTTTTGAAAGAATCTCAAAATATTTCCATATGAATGACACCACACAAAACCCAGCCCGAGGACAACCAGGACATGACAAATTGTGTCACATCAGGCCAGTTATTGACAAACTCTCTGAAACTTGTCATGAAAACTATCATCCCCACAAAGAACAATCAGTTGATGAAGGTATGATAGCTTTTAAAGGAAGACTGTCCTTTAAACAGTACTTGCCAGCCAAGCCAACTAAATTTGGGATTAAAGTGTGGGAACGAGCATCACCAAAAAATGGATACGTGCACGAGTTTCAAGTGTATACGGGACGTGTAGCTGGCGGTCGTACAGAAGAAGGATTAGGATCTCGTGTTGTGAAAGACTTGACTCGGAAACTTGTTCACAAGTCTCATGTTATTTACATGGACAATTTCTTCTCAAGTCCCGAACTATACGAACAGCTGTTACGTGAAGGTATTTACTGTTGTGGAACCGTTCGAGTGAACCGTCGTGGCATGCCAGAGGCCATAAAGAGTGCGAAATTAAAGAACAGGGGTGACAGTCTAACAATGCAGAAAGGAAATCTTGTAGCCACTGCTTGGAAGGACAAAAAAGTTGTTACTTATCTAAGTACAAACTGTGACCCTACTCATGAAAGGATCGTGCAAAGGCGTCAGAAAGATGGAACTAGAAAAGATGTGTCAGCTCCTAGTGTCTCAGAACTGTACAACAAGTACATGTTTGGAGTTGACCTAGCAGATCAGAAGAGGATGCAGTACTCTACCTGCAGAAAGGCCAAAAAATGGTACAAATACTTGTTTTGGTTTTGTTTTGACTTGGCCCTGGTAAATGCACTCATCTGTATGCAGGAATCGCCCAACCACAAACTGAGGACCAAAACAAACAAAGAAAAAAAAAGGACCCAACTGGACTTCAGAAAGGCTTTGGCCCAGCAAATGATTGGAGACTTCAGGGGTAGCAGAAAACGAAAGGCCCCAGCAGTAACCGGAAATTGTGGCCTTGCCCACTGGCCCATTCAGTTTGAAAAGCCAGGACACTGCAAGGGCTGTGCAAAACAGCAGAAAAGGCATGAAGTGTCAACTGGATGCAGGCAGTGCAACATCAGACTTTGTATTAAAAATGACTGTTTCTTCAAGTGGCATCAGGAACTTTTAAGATGAAATATATGCAGAAATTGTACATTTTTCTTGGAAAATGAGTGTTTATGTTGTAAATAATTGAGAACTGTGAAGTAACTAATTGGTCATATTGGACAATATTCAGAAAATGTGAAATTTAAACTTTTAAGATTATAAAACACTTTTGATTTTTAAAATATTCCAAATAATAAATGAGATAATGAGCTTTACACATGTGTACTATTTATTCCAGCTGCAAATTCTTGTAGCTGCAAAATCTGTCTGGTAATTAAGCCTCACACTGCTCCTGCGGTGAAAGATAAGAGCTGTGTGTGGTAGTGAACTACAGCAGCAGCACTGGTAGATAAGAAGTTAAAAAGGACAGGTAATACATTAAATAGGCTTATGTAAATACTGTTTTTTTTTTAACATGTCCGTGTAGAAATTATCCATAAAACTCATTATGGAAAGGGGGGGGGGGGGCTGTTATTACATGTAGGAAGAGCACATAATACAGTATGCTTGCTTTTATTTAATGGTTTGAAAAATCTCCGCTAAGTACTAGTAAAATATAAAATCTTCCATCTACTTTTTCATATCTCCTATGCATATGCTTAGTTAGGCAGTGAACCTATTAACAATTATAGCAGACTTTTTTTTCATACACGTTATGGAAGAAAACTGTTTGGCTTTTTACATCATTGTTTAACATAGAACATATTGTAGAAATATCATTTTCATAGAATAGTATCATTGGAAATTTTTTCCATTATCGACATCATTGACAATTGTTGAGCATAATTATAACGTTTTACATCTTATCGTTTACATATTGTGATTATTCTTGGCGACAAGTTTTGTGAAAAATGCTGTGCCCATAATGCTTCGATCTGTACACAAAATGCAAGTTAAATATTAAGGTTTATATTTTAACATAATTCTGAACAATTACAAACAGACACAGATGAAAAAGTGGGGCATCTTCAATACCTGTATATCAACATTTCATATTTTCTGATGGGCTGGGCAGAGATTTACTCATTACTCAGAGACTACATCGGGTCTCATCTCAATATGGGTTACATTACGGGACAGAAATTTAAGTCAATCTTTTCATAGCTATTTTTTTTCATCTGATTCAAATTAAATTAAACAATATATTTTCTGTGTCGTATTTTGATGGTAGTAATTATTTACATATACACCACCAGTTTCTACAGTAATTTATAATTTAAAGAAACAGTACGTCGGATAAGATAATCAATTGACAATTCCACATGGATTTCCTGAGCATAGTACAAATGCAGAATATTCCTTTCTTATTTTTTTTCTAAATTTAGATTTAGCTTTTGTTTTACAAACAAAATAATCTTTAAGAAGATATCTTCCAAATAACACAAGATTGCTGACTGCATGGTAAAATTCCGTTTTTGTTAAATTCATTGACACGTCAGTACAATATTGAAAGTAGGAAAATGCACGCTGCAGATGATATGCATTTCAATGATATTTATTCTAAAATCTTCAATGAATTATTTTAAAGTAATTTCAAACCACTTAACGTTGATTAACCAGCACGGAGTTCCCCAGAGCAAACGCACCGTGTCCCACCGTGTACACACCGTGTAGCACTGTGTGCTAGCTTAGCGCTGAAAACAAAACATCAAAGACACCGACATTTTTCAAAGTCCACGCAAAAGCCTGGACCAAGGGTCCACCGTGGCCGGTGTTTTCCGGAAGATACTCATGAGCTGTACTGTAAGTCTTGTTCCAGAGGGATTTCTTAGCTTGTGCGGAGATGATTTATATACATGTACATAGTTTTAACAGTTCTCTGTATTACTTTAACATCCCAAAAATACTCAAAGAGAAAAAAAAATGACGTCAAATCATTTGATGATTTCCAATTGCAAGGCATATGAATATCAAGCGTTAGAATCAAAGTTCACATTGTCAACTTACAATTTCTCAACTGAAAAAAGTTATTTCATATGCTGCATAATATGCATACATGATCACAGTTCAGTATTTTAGAAGTAAAATTTTACATTTAAGATTCAGATTTTTTTCTGTATTTTCAATGGTATTTGTAAAGTCAAAGTTCCAGTCTATTTTCTTCAAAATTCTTTAATGAGGTACAGTGGCTTCCATTTTATCGGATAGCGGTTTAACGAATATTTCGGCTATTTCAATATAATATCAGAGCACAAAACCATTTCTTATATATTTATTAATAATTTCACCTGATATTCTGATGAGAAAATACTGGAATTTCGTTTTATCCGATACAAAAATTTGGACTATCATAGTGTTTTTTGATAATCAGCACCTTGTTCACACCTCCAACTTCGTATGTGAAGCCTTTGTTTACACAGTTTGACACCAATTACCTTGACTGGCTTGAGTACGACAATGAGGGGATTAGTTACGCCTGGACGCACACAGGCACCTTACCTGTGTCAATAGTGGGCATAGTAAATAGATATGTTTTGATTACAGTTGTGGTGATCAGCTTGGGTTCAATGATGCACTTGTTAATTATGACAATTATTTGCAATTTTTTTGGCGTGAAATTTTAATTATTGAACTGATTAGCTTGTGTATGACAATTTGCTTGGATAATGAAATAAACCTATTCAATCGTTTAACTTGGTCAATTGGCTTAATATTTATTCACTTTTCAGTGCAAAATTTATGGTAAAAATTACAAATGGCTCGTTCTATAAAAATACGTCTCAAAATTCATACCATCTTTCTCCACATGGCTCTCAAAATCTCTCTTCAGCAGACAAGAACGAGACTGGTAAACTCACACACAGTATAAAATATGTAACCGTATTAAAGTAACAAATCAAAAGGAAACAATTACATATATTTAATATTTTTGTTTATTTTTAATTTACAATCTATCCAGGGAAAAATAGTTTACGGTTATTAGTCAAGCATTTAGTCTACTTCCGTTTCCAAAATGGCGACCGTCGAAGAAGGAATGAAAACATGTGCTGAAGAAAGATGGCAATAACTATCAAAGAATATATTCTATACGTCAATTTATTTGAAAAAAAATTCATATTAAATTCGTAAGTAAGTGAAATAAATTATTTTTAGTAAAGTCATTAAGTAAACATGTCAAAAGAAAACGAAAGTGCAAGCTTGAAATTTGCTAGCTACGATGTATTATCAATACATGTAGCTCTATACATCTGTCTTTGGACTCGGTATGGAGCAATCGGCTATTCTAATTTTCGGCTATTCGGATAAAACTAGGCTGACAACTTGACTATTCGATAAAACGGGAACCACTGTATTCCCTATTTTTTTAAAATTAAAAATAATGTGTATTTATTTAACTGAAAACAGAAATATTATACAGTATTTGATTATAAAAATCACCATTGCATGCCGATCATGACTTTCAGTGATCGCCAGTCCTAGCCAATTTTAATATCAGTATAAAATGATTGTATTCACGGCATGAATTTTACATTTTTACAATACCTAAAAAGGTCTAAAATTCTCTTCAACATGGAATCGATAGCTGCTATGTTTTACGTCTTGTGTATATTTTAACTACACATGAATGGATAAATTCTAGAGGAGTTACGACCGAGTATTCGATGTAGTGATGGACAGCAGCGAAAAACAGGTGCTCTACTGTGATTCATTACATTTCAACAGCGATAAAACAAACAATATTTGATTTTTTGTTAACTGGAGAAGCACTTGTCCACGGGCAGGTACCACTTATCAAATAACTTGCCCGCCAAACAAAATTGGTTGTCCCGGGCATCAGGCAATGCTATTTGTCTAGCCCTGAATGTGCCAAAAATGAATATTTATGGTCAGGTAGTTTATGAGATATTAAAAAAGTTCGCAGTTTTCTGGGACAACCCTCTTATATGGAAGCTTCCTCAGGTAGTGTAGATTCAAGTTTGTTCAAATCATTACCCCTTGGGGTAGGGTTGGGTCACAATGGGTGATCAAAGTTTTACTTAAGAATACATAGGAAAAATACTTAAAAACCTTCTTAAGAACAGCAAAGCCATGATTGGTCATATTTATATGGAAACATCAATAGTAGTGTAGAATCAAGTTTGTTCAAATCATGACCCGAGGGGTAGGGTGGGGCCACAATAGGTGATCAAAGTTTTACATAGGAATACATAAGAAAAATCTTTAAAATTCTTCTCAAGAACAGCTAAACCATGATTGGTCATAATAATATAAAAGCATCCTCAGGTAATGTAGATTTAAATTTCTTTAAATCATTACCCTTCAGGAGAATAGAGGGGCCATAACAGGGGATCAGAGTTATACAAAGGAATATAAAGGATATTTCAATAAAAATTTTCACCTTACAAACAGCAAAGCCATTATGTGTCATATTTATTCAAAAGCACCCTTAGGAAATGTAGATTCAAGTTTGTTCAAATCACATCCCCCTCCCCTCCAAACCACTTTCATATTTAAACTTTTCAATACTGAACTGATTTCTGCTTTATCCTAGCCAAAGTGCTCAGGTGAGTGATGTGGCCCCTGGGTCTCTTGTTTATTATACTGTATGTAGTATGCTTATTTCAAATACTTGCAAAACTGTAAATCTTTATGAAAAATTACATTAAATGTATTTTGATTAAACATTTGTGTTAACTATGCTTTGTAAAGGAAACCTGTTTATTTCTTTTTTTTTTCAATACTTTAGTTGATTATCATCAATTTCAAACTGTAACAGATAAATTCCACTCAATGGTGGAAATTTTTCTTTTATTTGTGTCAATGTCTAAAAGCTTGAATAAAGAGTCTTTCAATTACTTTTTCTGTTGGTTGCGTTTACCCAGGCTGCACACTGGACTCACATAAAATAAACACTCATATTATACAATTATTGCTGCTTTTGAGGTCAATACAATAATTTAGCCACCTGAGGAGTACAATATTCACCAAGCCCGAAGGGCGAGGTGAATATTGTACTTTGAAGGTGGCTAAATCATCATATCGACCTAAAAAACAGCAAATATTGTTTTATTATGGTATATGATTCAATGATTAAATGATATGTACTCATTAAGCAGTTCATGCCATCTTACTTGTTTACATTTGTTGAAGTCCTAGCCAAATGCAACTAGAACTGTCCAAAAGGGACAAGTACCCCCTGATGGGTTTTTCAGAGAAGGTGCCAATTAAATCACTAATGTTTTCTGGATCTAAGAGGTGTTCACCATTTGCTTTA